CATACACTTCACATGGCCAGAACCCATTTCATATAGCAGTTTGAAATGCACCATTTGATTTGAGGGTTTATATGTATTTGTGTTGCAAATGCTTACAGGGTTAATTGACAAAGATTTGAATCTGCCCTCACGGTTCCCCTGCTCTCTGTTCCAAAGAGTACTTCCACGTAGATGCCAGCGTGTTCAAAAAGAATGGCTGCCCGTGGATGACGTGGTGCTTTAAGTCCACCTGGACACCAACATTCCCCGTCATGCACTCTCGAAATGCTCCAGCGTGGTTGTCCACAATCCCCGCTGGAGCGACACCTGGCACCAAACTAGAGGAAGGGGTAAGTTCATGATCCTGCGGCTTCGAGAATGGGCGTGCGAGGAAACCGAGGAGGTGATGCCGGGACCAACACGGATACTCTTCATCTTCTCCCTTGAAACAGTGAAGGAGCGCCTCATTGTGGAATTTTGAATTCGGGACCAAATTTCCAGGCCCTCCTCACCACCGGATGGATGACCGGGCCCCCAATGTGCGCAACTGACTCGTTCGTCATTCGATGCTGAATTTTTGTCACTTGTTCTCTCCGATGACCCGGTCCTCCTTCCTTGGATCGGCGTCTTTCCACGTCGATCTTTGAACTTGCAACTGATGTGAATCTACTCTCTTCTCATTTTTCGTATCACTATCAAGAGAACCTTGGGCAGAGTTGGATTCCAACGCAGTAATCAGATTCGCCCGATGAGAAACTACCTTCTTCAGATTGGTACGACTCGGTACAGTGAAGAATGAATACATGTAATATTCCCTTACATCGAAAATTTGGGCAGATCTACATTTTTACAGTGCCCACTTTATTGTAATAGCTTCAGGATGATGAGGATAGATTAAGAATGACGAGGTCAAGCGACAACGTTTTATTTCGAACTGATATAACACTCAAATGTTGAACTAGCTCTGGGAGGATCGTGAGCCTACTCTTCGCAAATATTCAAACCCACGTCTTTAACAATGTTTAGAACCATACTTGTCTCACACACCTAGATCTAACAACTTCTAAAATCTTTGTGTAAATATGCAGAGGAAGTTTTGCCTTGCCCCATGCCCTCTTTGTTTGGGGTAGTGGATGAAGGTATAACCCTTTGCCCAAGTGTAATCGAGTTTAATGGTTGATAACCTATGTACAATCCATCCATGAAGTCCAGCTTAGGATAGTTCTGACAAATATGTCAGATTCAAAGGGGAGAGAGTTTTTTTTTATTGTTGGGTTTGGCAAAGTAACTCTGTTTCAGTGGCACAGAGGTCTGGAGTCGGATCCTAAAAAGCCTTTCCAAACAGATTTGTAACAGAGTTTGACTACAGTGGAGTCATAACTGCCTTCACAGAGATTTACTACTTTTCATTTATTCTGGATTCACTTCTGTTGTTTGTCTGCCCCAATCTCATCGAGTTGGTCTCAAGTGTCATTCGTGGTGACGATTTCCAACGATCTATGTTTAAGTTATTGAAATCTTCAGCCAATTCCCTTGAACCTGGAGTTTTTGAGTGTGTACCTAAAATGGATATTCCAGCTGTATGGTGTGGGAAACTTCACCTATGACCGTAAATCAACGTTGTTATCTCGCTCTAATGGTTGATGGAAGGTAAGTAACACCATGTTTGACAAAAGAACTGGTTCATCAAACCCACGCAAGCTACGTCATACTCTACCGTAGACTCTGATCAGTTAACACGGAAATCTATTTTATTTGAATTAAATTCACCAAGATTTCAAAAGAACCATCTATTACTGTGTTACGTTGACTCCTGCAACGTGGCCTTCTTGGTCGGGCATACATATGACATTGTACAATCATTAAAAAAATTGGTGTTTTTTTAATACTTTTTGAATTGATCTTCCGAAATACCAATTATTTTCAGCAAAGAATTCACCGTCTAGAACCACAATGTTGCAAAAGCTCTCATTTGCCTTCCACGATCAGAACTGACAATATTTGTTTGTTTTTTATTCTTAATAAGTGATGTGGATGGGTAACAGTAATTAGCAATAATTTTCCTCTACTAACTTTTAAAGACTAAAGGCCCCGTTCTGGATGACGAGGAATTTTTACGGAAGCGGACAAGGGCACGATCAAGAAGGAAATTCGCAGCTGGTCAAGACGCGAGCAATCCAGTGGCACAAATTATCGGAGGAACGCTTGCACAATGTGGATGCTACTCGGGAGCCACTGCAAGGAGAGCAGGGACGATGCGGCGTGAAGCAGGAGGGGACAGCGCCGGGATCTCGGCGGGACGGCGGAGCGCGGGGTTTGCAGTCGGGGATGGTGAAGGAATCGGTGGGGGGAGCATCGAGATGTATGCGCAGGGGGGGAGAGGTTGGAAACGTTGTGAGGTGGAGGTGAGAGTGCCTGCGGCGGCAGCCTGGAACAGATCAAGCCATTCAAAGAATCAGATGCCCGAGCCCCTCCTTCTCGGAGCAACAACATGCGGCCACACTTGATGCGGGACTCGAGAGGACGCTCCGCAGATGCGACGAGGGAGCCGCACGCCGTGACGGATGCCGTTATCGATACCTCTGCATCGAACGACCTAATGAATCGAAACAAGCAATAAATATAAGAATTGAAACATGTTATCGTCGAAATGTGAGATTGTAATCGCCTGTGATATCATTGTCAGCAATATAAATGCTTGAACACGCAATATTGAGCGATCAAGCGAACGTGACCTGTTATACATATATATGTGTGTCTGTGTATATATAAATATCATAATAAGTCATACATTATTGAAATAATGTTTTGGAATATTCTGCCATATTGAAACGCTGGATCAAGAAACAGCTGATTATTCAATTGTCGAATTGTCACTATTTGAAAAATAGCTTACTAATTTATTGGACACAATGTTGCTTATACACCACGTGGCTAATCCCAGAAGTATATTTTACAACAATATTTTAGATCGAAATTACCTCCTCGTTAACACATTCAAACATGCAAAACAATATGAATAGTGATCAAAAGATATGTATATTTATGAGAAGTAATGTTTAGTAATACATAAGCTATATTTGGATATAGCTTGTGTATTACTAAACATTACTTCTCATAAATATTCTACAAAAATTAAATTAATTTTTTAGTAGGTATGTAATTTTTTAAAAAACACAAAATAGTTTTCTTTAAATTTTTGAACTGTAAACTTAATCCCCCAAAATATAGTCTCAACTTAAGTAATAAGATACCAAATGAATCTCAATGTCAACATGAAAGGTATTATCAAGTACTATTCGTTTTAATTTTCCACTGAGATACAACACGTATATATGTGTGTGTATGTTCATTTATTTATACATCATAATTAACAAATTTTTGAGGTGAAAGTTCCATCTTTATCTTATTGTCAAACTCAAAATAAAAGTTTTTTTTGGTGTGGTCGTAAGAAATTATTTGTAAAAACCAAAATAGTTACCTCAAGTAGAAAAAGGAGGGAGGTTGGGTTAAATGTAAAGTTACTATTTAAAATTATTTTTGTAATATTTTATCTTCAGATTTTTACACTCAAAAGTATGTAAGTTATTTTTCACTATGATTTATTATGACCATTGTCAATGGGTTATTTAAATCTATTAAAGCATTTCTTTTCATGATGCTTTACACCAAATAGAATCCAACGGAGAATCTATAGAAACTTAAAGTGAAAAATAAAACACAAACGTAAGATTTTTTCATCAACGATGCTAAAATGAAGTGAAAAAATAAAAAATAAAATAGAAAGAAAATGTAGTTGAAAACCAAAACATCCAATATCAACATCAAAATTATTTAAGGAATAAACACTTTAGACTCTTACGGACTAGGAGACTTGGTTTAAAGAGAAATTGTACTTATGTTTAACGTTACTTTACAAAGACGGCTCTGATTGGGTGCGAAAAAACCCTGGTTTTTAGAGAAGTGAAGTAAAGTACTAACTCTCGAAAGTACAATTAACACAGAAAGAAACCAACAAAAAAGAGAACAGATTGCTTGATTCGGCTTTGAACGAAATGGGTTGAGTCAGCCCTGTGGAGAATAGAAACGTCAATATGAGGGAGATCCGAAACTCTGTTCAAGCGTAGACACAACCCACAAACAGGCGTACAATCAAACTCATCAACTCAGAGTCCAAAGTTGGCAAAATCGGGTCCAAAAATACGAGTGTCAGAGCGCTAACCGGCGTAATAATCTCACTCCGTTGGGAACAGCGTGGTGAATAGTTGGGGAACGGGATCCTGGCGCGTGCGCAGAAGGTTCTCGAAAGAGGGTCGAATAGTTCCCGACCCCCGGGGGAAGCGGGATTCTCCTTTCCACCTGGTACACGCTTCCTTGAGCACCTGGTAGGTCGGAGCCGAACCTCGAGGGATGGGTTTTGAAATTTGCGACCCACCTGTTTTTCATTGTCTTAGGGCCCTGTCGTCGCTGTGTTTTTCCTCCTGTCCGGAAGCTCTCTTTTGTCTCTCTTTCATCAGCTCTGCGGACGCTACTGCGTTATCGAGTGTTATCGAGTGTTGTGTGTTTTTGTTTGAAACATTTGTTCGAGCGTTTTCGAGCCTCGTGGCGAGCTTTGTGTCCACGGAAGAGGCGTGCGGGAAGGAGAATTTCCCTTGAAGCAGACGGCAGACATTTGGAAGTGTGACTGCAGGAGTTTGTAGTTCGGTCTGCATACGTTGCAGTGGTTTTCTGCAATCGTGTGACAATACGGTGTAGTTTGGGAGTGGCAGGGAAGGGTAGTAGAGAGGGGATTGCAGAGAGAGTTGGTGGTGCTGGTGGAGTGAGAGTCTCGGAGGTTGAGTGATGGGAAGGAGAAAGTGATGGGATTGGTGTTTTGTCTTTAGTTGTGGCGATGTGATGTGATGTTTCGTTTTGGTTTCGAGCGTTATCCCCGTGGCGTGGATCGTTGCTGTAGTGAGTGAGGTGTTTGTCCGTCGTTGGATGGATTGACGGGAGTGGGGTGTATGAAGTGCAGCGGTTCTTGTTTTGCATCAGTGTGGGAGTTGTAATGATCGGTGTATTACTGGCTTCGGCTTTTGAGGACGTACCTGAGTGGTGATGATCATGGCCGAAGCATCGTTGTCTGCAAGTGGCGAGGATCCATTTTTGGAGGTGAAAGCTATTTCAAGGGTTCTGTCGTCTGAGGCTACCCGAGGATCCGATGGGCTGGAGGTAGGTTCCAACTCTCTTTTTCTCTCGACGAGCTTTGGTATTTGTGTCCATTCGCGTCTGCCATTGGAGTTCATGTAATGCGCAGTTTTGTTGCAGTCATTTGGAAGCTCACGACTCGGTCAGTTTCGATTGTGTATGTGGACATTATGCAGCTTCTCTTTTGAAGCTTTGTCCACAGGTTGTTAGCGTTTGAGAAAAGTCTTCTTACTTGCCATGAGAGAATCTTTAAGCAAAACGTCGCAGCTGCATCTTAACTTGAACTTTTTTTTACCGTGCTTAACGTGTTTGTGTTCCTTGAATTAAACGACTTATCATCAATTGATGAGTTATCCTCACTTATGTTAACAGGGTCAAGAGTTGGTTTAGAATTTCAGAGTTAGAGCGCTCGTGCTGTTCGCGCTCCCACATTCTTACCTATTGTGCTTCTCTTCTGCCGCAGTTCCTAGAAGGATCTTTTAGTTTTACGGAGTGAATTTTAGCTGTTCGTATCAACTTTGGGCAGGAGTCCCGTTTGTTAGAGCGACTTCCCGCGCGTTTCGGTCTGTTTCGAATTTCTCTGCCATTGAACAAGGCTACTGTTTTTAGCGTCGCAACATGGCAATCTCGCAGGAGATGTGATGGAAAGCACGACGAGCAGTGATTCTGCTTATTAGCTAACTTCGCATTGTTTGAGCTTGTAGAAGTTAAGAATTGTATACATAAGAACCTGTGTCTATTTAGAAACTCTTAGTGAATGCAGGGTCGTGTATCACCGCTCCGCAATTCGCAGAGGGAAAATTGGAGGGTTCGCGTTGGTCGTTTGTTTGTCGATTCTCCTCAATGGTTGTTGAAGTATTGTTAATCTTACTTCATGCAGATCTGACTTGTATCAGATATGGGATGTTATTATTCATACTTTGATATTCACGGGAACTTCCGAGTAAATTATTTTTTCATCACAACGCTTCTGTGTAATTTGGTTGGTTTATGAGCCATACGTGCTGTAAATAGTTTTAAAGTCGAATGTATTGGGTTATGTTGACTTGTCAGCAGTAGATTAAGATGGGTTATGAATCATGTGCAGGAAACTTTTCAAAATTCGCCCTCAGCCACGCAATTTCTGCGTACATTAAGCATTCCCAGAACGGACCAGACTAAGGCACATGTCAGGCAGAGGGCTGTGCAACCTGGTGAGACTAAAAAGCACCTGATTGGAGAACTTCCTGGTGGTCGCCCGAGGAGTGCGACTTGCGTTTGTCAGGTGCAAGGATCGGTTCCTGTCCCCGTTAGGACCCCTCAAAGGACTCCCCACAAATCCCCCCGCAAATCTCTCCTCAAGTCTAAAGGGGAAGGTTTAGAGTTTAATTGTTCCTGTAAGCGCCATGGCGAGCGTTACCAACAAGGGAATTGGAGTGGTGAAGAATGGGAAAGCAATAGCTTTGCCACTAAGAAAGCAGGAGCATGCAAGTGTGTGGCGGGGGCAGTAGTTGATTGTACAGCTGTGTGTTGTTGCCCTCTCTCTCTTCTGCATCTTTTAGCTCTTGCTTGTATCAAGCTGCCCTCTATTGTTGTCATTCGGGTCCTGAGGAAAGCGAAAACCAAGCTTCGCAAGAAACAGAAGTGTCAAGAAGCTAATGAGCATAATATTGGTCCAACCACACCCTTCACGCCCTCTCTTTCGTGCCAAGAATCTACGAGTGACGTCTCTTGGGCGCCAGACTCAGGATTCGGTGATCATCGGATGTGGCAAGAGTATTTCGGGGGGGAGGAAATCAGCCTTGCGGATCACTAGAGAGAAGGATCTAGTGTCTACATTTTGTACAGAACGGATCACTACTGTGCGCAGAATGTTGATTTCCGCTCTTTTGCAGCCTCGTACAGAGAGGTCATGCCTTTCGTCTGCACCCCCGCTGTGTTTCTTTTTTCTTGGGTCAACGTGCTCTATTGGCAGAGCGATATGTCTTGTCTTATCCATCTTGGATGTGGAGTATTATTTCACCAGACTAGTACATTCTTTGAATGTTTATTTGAGCGTCCTCTAGAATTTTGTGAAACACACAGAAGAGGACGAAAGTGATTCTCTTAGGTACGTGGACTCATGCCGCATTCCCACGTTTTAGCCTCTTGGCAGGGAGTGCTTGCTGGGCCACCGGGATATGTTCTGGGATTCTCATGAAAAGTCATTTAAGTTTTAATTGTATTCAGGAACATAGATATACTTCAAGGAGAAGTGACAGTGGTTCTTTTTGGTGCCTAATTAAAGTCCTTCCTTGGAGACCGATTCTTCTGTATGAAGACCTGTGATTGTAATGTATCTACATTTCTTCAACGAAGTTTTACATTCTTCTTCTGGTTATGAGGTTAATATCTAATTGTCTGAGGTAGCATATAATTGTCTCTTTGATTTTGCCTAGAACCAGAGTTCCAGCATCTGAGGTGTGTAGGTCAATGTTAAGTTCTTTTGACCATTTTCCTTGTATGAGTAATTAAGATGTCCTATTCAAGACCAAGTCCTCTGTTGTCACGCTTCAAGCATTGTTACATTGTGTCGTCATGTCATTCCAACTCCCTCGACCGTTGCGGATAGTTTTCGGCTCTTCAGTTCTATATATGCATTGCACAGTGTATGCATTCAGTTCTATGGATTACGCACACTCTCTACTACATTTGATCTAGTCCACATCCTGGCAATTTCACAAAACAGCTGCTCTCGAGCAGTCGTCATGCACGACTTGCGCATCAAGCATGATTCAACAGGCTGGTAGGATCCCGTTCGCTGACTTTGTTCAGTAGTCGTAGAATATATTTCTTTTGGGTTTATCAGCAGAGTGTGAGGTGAGTAGTTGGGGAGCAAGACTGTTTTCCTAAGGCAACTCTGTGAATGTGGTCTTTCATGATGATCATTCAACTCAAACGGGTCGTATTTTTTATGGTTTCGGCACTGTCGTTGCTGAACTTGTGAATTGTGATCTTCATGTAATATCTGTAGTACGAAAGTCAGCTTTCAAGGCTGAGGATACGAGAGAATGGTTGAGTTTGATTTATTGCAGGGATGCAAATTAAATTCATGAGGTTTGAATCGAATCATTTGACGTTCGTTTTAGATCTGACCTGCTGGGGATTCTGCAGATGCCAGTACTGAGATTGAAGTCTGTTTTATTCAAGTGTAACAGGATAGCTTGTGATGGAAATTGAAGGCGAAGAGTGGTGATGACGTCAATAAGTAGCAGTGTTAGATTGATTAGATATTCTTAACAGGCGTCTTTTCATTATTAGTGCTCCACGATACTGGTGATGCTGCCAAGGGGAGATTGGTTGACGGCATACATTATTCAGAATTCTTTGATAAATATTGTGGATGATGTTGGTGATACCCAACATGTGCCTCCGCCTCCATTCTGTAAAGATGTCACTCATGTCTGGATTAGGGCTAGGTAAAAGTCATTAACCTTTTTACTGTTGACATGTAACCCTAATCTATATAAATTGGTTTGTCATCTAATGGGAAAACAATCCATCATGTATAGTTACAACATGGTATTAGAGCAATTAGAGTACTATTAGGCTAGGTGAGCCTGCTCTCTTCTTAGAGAGAGAAAAAGAGAAGGTGATAGAAGCACAATAGAATACATATCCTAACAAGTTAACATCAGATGGCAGTAGCTTGAGAGAAGTCCTTGAATTGTGAGGTAGGAGAGTTGAACAAACTTCTAGGAGCTTAGAACTATTACATTTGGAAGTTGAAGATGTTTATAATATTAAAGATAGAGAACTTATGGGGCATAGTAGAAACAAAGAAGTCAATCACATCATTTCATTTAATCATAATGGATAGATTGTATATTGAGACACAATTAGTAGAAGCAAAACAAAGAACTCAATTGAGACTTACTATGTTGGTTGCAAATAGCTTAATTGAAAAAAATGTTCCAACACAATAATCTTGTAAATTCATCGATTATATTAATTTTTTTTTAATGCAAGTTATTAGTAGGAGATTATATTATTGATAAACAAGATGAATAAAATGAAAATAAAAGAAAGAGGTGACATTAGTACGTATCTGACAAAAGCAATGGATATGAAGAACTAATTGATTTTTTTTGGCAATACCATTATAGACAAGATATTTATAGATATTGTATTCAATGGATTGTTGTAAAGTTATAAAATAGTGATTTAGGATGTACCTCTTCTTGTCAATATAACCTTTATAAATGTTTCTTTCTACCTAATTGATGTTAGAGATGTGATACAAGTTTTGTAGATAATTATAAGCAATATGATTTGGTCCTTCACATGTGAAATAGTAGTATGATTGAATATCCCTATGTTATCAAAATCTATGTGGATGAGACATAGACAATTGTAATCTTGATCTAAAGAAGCTTAATAGTCTTCTTGGTTTGGTTTGGAATTAATTGATAATATGAGGTCTTGATCCTCTAAAATTTTGTAATATTCTTTAAACAAAACTTCTCCCCTTTTGACTACCTCCTCACACAATATGACTTTGTTGATGACTTCTAAGATAAACTTGCACAATGTATTCTATGTATTAATATTAAGTCACAATTTGATATCAATAGAGACAATGATATATAATAATAAAGTAGTTATATTTAGAAATAAATTATACTTAATATTAGATAAAAAATATAATAAAAAATTGATAATCATTGGAATAAAAAATTTAAAAAATAAAATCTATCAATTTTATGATAATACACTAGATTTTGAAGCTTTTGAAGCAAATTGAATAAGAATAGAAGAAAACAAACATTTATAATATAAAAGATATAATTACTTATATTATACCAATTTTCTATATTTATCATAATCTAATGTAGTACAAGGACCTCTATTATTTAACACAATTCAAGAAACTTGCAAAAACTACTTAATGGGACAACAATAATGAGAGTGATTTTTAAAAACTTTACTATACTATGTTGAGAAGGTACTTTAATTTATTGACTCTAATTTAATAAAATCTATAAAAATACTATCTTTAAGAGGCTCTAAATACTTGATCATATTTATTGATGAACACTCTTGCAAAAATTAGAACTACTTTATGTAAAGTAAAGATAAAACTTTTAGAAAATTTAGAGAATTTAAAGCACAAAAAGAAAGAGAAACGAAAAAATAAATAAGCAATTTAAGAACAGATAAAAGAAGAGAATACATGATACATAAATTTAATAATTTCTTAATTAATTATAAATAAAAATATAATTTATTAACACAGATATATATATTTATTTTGATATTTACCTATATGATTAAGTAGAAATAGGTAAAAATAGATTTATTTCATAATATTTTCTAGACAAGCTTCTTAGAAGCTTTATAGATGTTGTTTTGATTTTACATGTGTTTGTAGTTGATTGGTAGTATAAAAACTTAATCAATAAGTAAACCACATATTGGAAGCTTGAGAAATTAGCTAACTATGTGGCATACATATTAAAAACTTATCTTACAAGTTAAGATACGTGTCTTGTAAAGTCAACATGTTTTGGAAGTCCTATAGGACATCGTTACATAGCTCTTAGTTAAGAGTGTATATGGAGGCAAGAGTGAAGTCTTCTTTACCCTTTTCAATGCATTTTTAGTCTTTAGTCTTATTTCTAGACTTTCTAGTCTTCTTGTCTTTGGCAATAGTCATTTTAGTTCAATATTATGCCATCTTTGAGTGAGTTTTTAGTCTTTTTGAGTGATACAAGAACATATTGAGGTTTTTTTTCTTTAAGATTCATGTTCTTGAGAATTTGACAATATTGCTAACTCATTCTTCTTATCTTATTTTAGAAGTGAGTGGATTATCTCACCTCTATTATTACATTTTGAAGTTTACAAATTATACACATTTAAATAAACTATTTAGTTTTTTAACATTGATATCTTTGTTAAAGAGAGTAGATTATCCTTTTTTATAGAAATTTTAATTTGATATTAGAGGTTGCAGATTACCTTCCTCTAATTTGACTTATGGATTTGTTAAGTTGTTTGAAAGGAAAGGAAACATCATGGATGCTATACTTGGCAGAGGTGAAAATAGATTTGCAACTATTGCTGATCTTTAAGAACTTATCAATTTTCTTAGAATAGAAATTTCACCCATCATTAGTATCAATTATGGAAATACTAATCCTATGCCTATAGAAAAAGTTTAGAGTCTATGTCAAGAAGTTGTATGATTGAAAGAAGAAAATAAATCAACCTCACAATTAAATCTAGGAAGTTTTGCTTTTATAAGAACAATAGGGATAAGGATTAGTATGCTTGAGAAGTTTCATGAAATAAGATCAAAATTTCAAGGAATTTTGCAATAAATTAAGCTCTATCTAAAGTTGCATTGCTTTCAATAGCCTAATAGATTTATTCAAGTTAGATTCATAGATGTACTTCTATTTGGAAGTACACTCTCTTGGTTTGCACCTTTGATAGAAAAAGATTCATGTCTCCTTTATTATTTGAATTCATTCTTAGAAGTGTTCATGGCCACATTTGGAGATAGAGCACCAAAGATGAAGCTCATATCTTTAGAAGTAGGATCATAATCAGCCATTATATATGCTGTTGAATTCCAAAACCTTACTTGTAACATGGATTGGAATGATAAAGCACTCATTAATCAAATTTCAATATGGATTGAAGAATAATATCAAAGATTTCTTATTGATAATATCAAAAGCATAATCTTTGAAATAATTTATTGCTTAAGCCGTAGCATGCAACAATTGATTATTTAAAAGACATCAAGAACAAAGATTTGGTTGGAGAAGAATAAGTTAAGTAATGAGAGAAATTTCCAAGTTTTAGAAAATTATTTATCAAGGTTAGAATTAATTGAAATTGATATGATATATTTTAAAATCTTCACTGAATAAGAAAAAACTCAACAACATCAAGAAGGTTTGTGCTTATATTATAGAGAAGCTAAGTACACTACTCAACATTATTCAAAGAAAGAATGCAATCTTAAAATGAGGAGCACAATTCCTAAAGAAGACAATATGTCAAAAAATAAGTTTCTCCAATTACAATAGAAATTGTGCAATTGGAATTATATACAACATATACTAAAGGTCTTATTTTCTCTTTAGATCCATCACTTTATTTTATAATAGATATAAGTTTAGGACCTAAAAATAAAAAGTCTTTGTATTATTAGATTCAGGAGCCTTAGCTTGTTTTATAGACAAAGAATTCATCAAAAAATAAGAAATATCTTTAATAAAAAAAAATTAAATCTATATATGTAGAAGTTTTAGATGATCATTCATTGTCTTCTAGAAATATTATTTATATGACTATTCTTTTAGATGTAGCAATTAAAGATCATAATAG